GTGTTTCATTGATTCTGATTTCCTTCTGCAAGATCTTGTGGGACATGACTTTTATGAGATTAAGCTGGTATTAATCTCATAAAGCAGGTTCTTACACACTGACAGATTTAGTCATCACATAGCTAATTTGGATGAAAGCATATTAATCTAACAGTGACGAGTCATCATGGACTACTTTATAAACACAGACACATGGCTGTACACTGCAGGTGTGAGGAAATAAGGAGGAAATGAGGAGCGGAAAATGGACACGTCATGATTATGACTTTTTTCTAATATTAAATAAGTAATATTACAACTTTAATCTCGTAAATTATGGCTTTATTCTTGTAATATTATGACTTTATTCTCATAAAATTATGACTTTAATCTCAAAGTAATAATAATAAAATCTCGTTGTGTGGCCCCTAATACTCCATCATATATATGTACCTACTAAGCACAAAAAATATAAATATCTTAGACCGTACTCTCAATTTGTTTTCATTTTCAGCAAGTTTATTACAAACTGAACTGATTACTTATAATGCCCATTTAAGAACATTTGAAACCAACCTTAAAGAGTTCCTTTTTAATGTTCCCCCGGAGGAAATCTTTAACAAACGGGCAGTTTTCTGCTCGGTCGTGGGCCTCCTTCGTGCCCTCAGCTAACATCTCAGACAGGTCAGTGGGGCTTTGAACAACAGAAACAGAAGGCAAAGTGAACAAACATTACTCAAACACATTCTGAAAACTTAGGGCCTAGCACTCTTTATCCCCACCACAATCGCCAACATTTTATACTGAGCATCTAATGACGAGAAATAAATGTGTTGTAGCTGTTTTGGTCAAACAATGAAAATAATGCCCAATCTCATGACATCACAAGGTATCCCATTCAGAGCGTGTCTGATGAAGGATTCGTTACAGCCTCATTAAATTTGAGCCAAATTGAAAGAGCTGTAGTCATTTTTGTGTTGGCTAATATTGATTAGCTGACTGAGTAGCCATCTTAAATTTAATTAGCTCCAAAAGCTAATCAGTTGAGGATGTGCATTCATTACTTACTGAAAATCTCCATAAAATTTAATCTGTGGTTCATGAGATATTTTGCTAACAGACACAAGAAAACAAGCCCACACCAACATTATTACCTGCCTCAGTCTTTTGCTGACTAGCAATAATTTGTAATTTCTAATCTTCTGTACCTGAGGTTTTCATCCTCCTCCTCCTCCTCATCGATCCATCTTGGTGTTGTCATACAGTTGGACTCAAGCTCTGGTGTTACATCATCTTTCATTTTTTTCTTGGAGTTTTCATGGAAGACAAGAGGAAAATTAAAAATAAATCAACCAGTTCACAGCAAACACACTACGATCCCTGAATCCTAAAATTATTTTTGGTTCTTATACAACTAGTCTATAAAATACAAATAAAAAATTTAATAATACATTGTTTAAAATAAGTGATTTTAAATACTAAATAACTAAAGATAAATGTTGACAGCAAATCTTCTCTATCCAGTAGTCCTAATGAGATTTCAAACGGTGGCACCAATTACAATTTGATTAAAAAAATAAAAATAAAAAAGGTGCACACATTTATGAGCGACCACAACGTAAATAGATTTTTATGGGTTTTTTTTTTTACATTAGTTTCTATAAAATGTCAGAATAAATTCATTATGGACTCTAATTGTTACAGTGAAACAAATTGAAAGTTCAGTTACAAAACTAACACTGCTCGTTCCTCGTGTAAGTAGCTCGWGTGCTTGTTACCATGTTAAAATAAATGAAACCATTTATTTTTATTAACACAAACAGAAAATTTAATCTTACCGTGTTTTTGAGCGGAAATGAGAAAAAGACCTTTTGTTTACTGCTTGGAGAGGACGTCCTTCAACAACATCACGTGCACAAGGCGGGTCTTTGCGGCAATAGACCAATCAGAGAGCGACTGATAAACAAAGAGAAGGATGTAATTGGTCAATATTCAAAGGTTGTACCAATCACAAGTCACACCGCAGAAAGGAGGCGGGACACAAGTGTTGTGAGATTCGGAAATTTTTAAAAAGCACAATGAAATAAGCATTTTTTATTTTACTAAAATGTAATATATATATATANATATATATACACACACCACACAGACAAATGACCTATATTTCTGTTTCATGTTGTGCTACCCTACATCATAGACCACATAAGTCAGTGGGCCCGGTGGAGAGGGGGAGTGGTAGTGACAGATAATGTGAATAAAAATAAATAAAAATAAATGAAAACAATTTTTAACAACAATCTTGACAATTGTTGTGTGCCATTTCCTTTTATTTTGTTAAATGGTTGTTAGATGAATGGGGTCTGGATCCTATTCTTTGTTTTTTAAAAGTGTTTTATGTTTACATTTGTCTGGTTTGTGTCTTTGTGGCCCTGTGATGGACTTGTGAATCTGCAGGGTGTACACTGCCGCTTGCACAGTGACTGCTGAACACCAGTGACCCCCAAACAACCTGGAAAGGAAGACAAGGGTTAAAATGATGATGATTTTATTCTTATTTTTATTTAGAAATTTATTCATTTCATTTGTAACACAAAATAACAAAGAACAAAAAACATGCAATCAAATTAAAATCAAATAAAATGAAAGGCAGCAGAAGAAGAATAAGTCTTATAATATTTGCCCCTTTTTCATACCCAAATATGTTCAAAATAAAAATAAATTACAACAAAAATCAGAACAACTGAAAATAAACAAAAAAATAAAAACGACATTTCCTGGCTTTCTGCTAATATCTGTTGCAGTTTGCAGTTTGGACCACCAGATGCCACCAGAACATTGTGAGACATTACTCATTTTCCATGTTGGTGCTTATTTTTCTCAAACATTTCAGTGAAGTGTGAGAGCAGAGAGAGAAATTAGCTTTTTTGCTTGGTTTTTTAAATTGCAATGATAATTACATCCAAGCAGCAGCAAACAACTTGCAATAGATACTGAATTTATTAAATATGTTAAATTAAATATTCAATAATGCTGCAAACATGAAGTGTTGGAGGAACCCAGAGAATGCACAGGAAAAGTATGATTTATATGTCACCGTCCTCCTATTGCCTGATGTTTACATTTCTGTCCTGTTAATATACATCAGCATAGGAGCTGTTGTGTGTAGTTTTAGACAGCCTCGATTCAGAACACCCTCACTTCACTTATGGCGTCCTAGAAGAACACTTGAGAATACAAACAAAGGAACAAAGGTACTGCGTCATGCTTTTTTCCCCCCAGCAAAACCTCCGAGTATTCAAAGAGATTCTGGCAGCTCTAAGTGCTTCTTTCATGTTTTGGAGCCCAGAGAGTTGTGCGCGACAGGAGGAAAACCCCGTTTTTACTTGTTGCTGTCCTGCTCCAAGACATTCAGCTCCAAACGACCCACCTCTGTTTGTTTTTGTCATTGTTAATAGCTGAGACAAGCTTCCTATCATCAACAATATTACATTGACCTCGACTCCACTGGTGCATGAGTGGCTCTGCCTTTATATTCAATACAACTTCCTGTGTTTATGAATATCTTGGCTGCTTTTCTCTGATTCATTAATCAGTAACAATATATAGGAAGGTGCATGCAGCTTTTAGAACGAATGTGTAATACCCTTAAGTATGCCTAAGTGATATGTTTTGGCATAAAGGTTATTTATACTATAGACATGGATACAGTGACTACCTGTGCGTGTTCAACTCAAGCTCCTGCTCTGCTCTGATCAACACTCCTGTTATGCAGGCGCTTGTTAATCACACACACATCGTGTGGGCAGCTTGTTCCCTAACATTGTTTACCACATTCCAGATTGTTTTTGGCATTGGATTTTATTACACAAAGGGGAAACCTTCCCGTCTGTGAGGGATTTCCGCTTATTTTTAATAATGAAAAAGGGCTCCGGCTAAATTAATCCACAGCTAGATACATCTGGATCCAGATTTCAGTTTATTTAGAGATGGCACCATCAACGTACTGTACAGGCTAGATGTTTATTGATTTTATTTTGTCATGTCTTATTTTTTGGTCAATTAAAAACCCAAACAATATCACATTGTTATAAAAATGTTTATTTTATGTGACTTGAGAGGAATTATTTGTTTTAGCCAAATGTTTTACTGATCATAGATTATCAGAAAGTCATCATTTAGGTCAGTTTTTTAAAATAAAATACTCTCGTTTGACTTCTTAGAGAAAAATAAAACCATTAATGCTCTCAGAATCCAGCAGTCACTGTGTGAAGGCAGGGCGGGGTACAACCTGGACAGGTTGCAGCGATGCAGAGACAAACAACATTATCTCTCTCACCCACACCTGGTGACAATTTAGAGTTCCCAATTAGTATAACAGTTATGCTTTTAATCTGTTGGGGGAAACTGGAGCACCTGGAGAAAATCTATGCATGCACGGAGAGAACATGCAAACATTACAATAAACAGTAAAGTGTGTGTGTACTATATATATATA